ATGTCTTCGTCCCAGATCTCGGCACCGCAGACAGCGACGGAATCGTCACCTTCACCTCTTGGACACATCCACCGGATCTTGACCCAGACTTCAGTCCTGGAGGCTTCTGGTACTCGGAAACCATCCCTGAAGCAGAAAGAACAAGAGCGTTAGCGACAATTCAACATTCGGCAGCAGCAGAGACAACATCGGCAGCAGCAGAGACAACATCGGCAGCAGCAGAGACAACATCGGCAGCAGCAGAGACAATATCGGCAGCAGCAGAAACAACAACGGCAGCGGTAGAGACAACGGTAACAGCAGTGGCAACATCAACACCAATCGCTGGTCCTTCAATGGCACCGATCTTCGACAACGACACACCACCGACACCCGCGCAGCAGCTAAACCCGGCACCACGAGAAGTTCATCGAAGCGCCAACTTCACCTCCAGCTTCTACTCCAACTCCGACATATACCGACGTTCACCCGGACACCGCGCCAGCGAAGACATCTGGCATGCAAGAATGGGACACCCAAGCAACACGGTGTTAAATAATACGATAAGAGCAGGCGTACTCGACAAAGACTCACTACTACTTCATGACGGCAGAGAACTCCAACGAGTCCGCGGAACGTGTTTCACATGTCCTGAAGCCGACTTACCGCATCAGCAGTTTATCCCTCACCACAACCCGAGCGCACCAGCATACGCACCGCTCGAAAAAGTGTACAGCGACATCCTGTACAATCGCGTACCAGGACAAGGAGCTTACAACTACACCATCACCTTCATCGACGCTGCTACCCGATATGTTTGGCACCTGAACCTCCCGAGTCGCGACATGGCTTTTGAAGCCTTCGTCGCCTGGCTTCCAGCAGCAGAACGAGAATCCGGAGTGAAGCTAAAGAGTTTCCAGTCAGATGGAGGCGGAGAATACACCTCACAACGCTTCAAGGACTACCTGGCAGAGAAGGGAATCAAGAGGCTCATCTCCCTTCCTTACGCCCATCAACAGCAGGGTGTAGCAGAAAGGATGAACAGGACCCTCCAGAACACCATGCGCAAGCTGCTACGTGGCATGCGGCTACCCAACCACCAGTGGCCCGAAGCAATGGACCACGCCGTCATGCTACACAACTTGCTTTCGTCATCATCACTTCCGAACAACGCATCACCGCATCTGCTGTGGATAGGAAAATTGGGCAGCACAAAAATGTTACGAGTCTTCGGCTGCATGGTACAGTACCGACCCCCATCTGCACGAGCCGGCCGATTCTCCCAACGCGCACAGTGGGGACTACACCTGGGCATCGAAAAGAACTACAACGCATGGAAGATTTTCGACGTCCACTCCAAGGAGACAGTAGCAGCACGTGATGTCCTTTTCTACGAACGACTCACTCTTCCGACGTACCTTGCCAACCTGGAAGAAGATCGGGACCCCACGGGTGACTTCCGTGGTGACCGAGCCTTCGCCTCAACAGCAGACGAAGCTGACTGGGACGAGCAAAACGTGGACGCAGCCTCGGAGGAAGCTGGACCTCTCCCTTACTGCTCCGTCGATGTCCCAATGGATGACGAAAACCCTCGCGAAAGCGCCAACGCCGAAGTATTTTACCACTTCGCCGACAACGGTTACGTTACACCTGCAGAAGTCAACACCAACGAAGCGGAACGCATAGGGCCCAACTTCATACCTGACCCAGAAGCAGGTGACGAAGCAGCTTATCCCGCGGACACCACACTCCCCCGCTACACACAGAGTGGCCTCCAGATACTTGGCCTCGTCACCGCGGTCCACGGCACTGCGATTCCTAAGGAGCCTGCGACGGTTCAACAGGCTCTGGGGGGGGAACACAGGGAAAAATGGCGCAAAGCCATGGACAGGGAATTGAAGGCACTAGAGGAGCGCAACACCTGGAAAGTCGTCCCCATCGGCGTGGCACGGAACAAAACGATTCTCACCGGAAAATGGGTCTTCCGCGTGAAGACGAAGGCAGACGGCACCATTGACAAATTTAAAGCGCGCTGGGTCGTACGCGGCTTCGACCAAGAACACGGGCGCGACTTCACTGAGACGTTCGCCCCAGTCAGCCGACACACGTCATTACGAATCCTCCTCGCGATCGCCGCCATGAAGAAGAAGAAGCTGCGGCAAATTGACGTCGCCAACGCATTTCTCTACGCACCTGTCGACGCAGAAATCTTCGTCGAGCTACCGCACGGCTCAAACGGAGAGCCTAACCAAGTCTGTCAGCTGCTGAAGTCGCTCTATGGCATCAAACAAGCTCCGAGGTTGTGGCAGCAGTACCTGCACGCAAGACTCATTCGCATTGGATTCCGCCAGCTACCTCACGACCAAGGCATGTACCGGCTCACAAAGGGCACCGATTACATCCTGCTGATCGTCTATGTAGATGATCTACTCTACATCGGGTCAACAGACGGCGTCACCACCTGGTTCGAAGGGGAGCTACAACAAGACCTCACACTCACAGTCTCGTCTACCGTTACGCAATATCTCGGGCTCAACATACGGGAAGAGGAGGACGCGATCTACCTCAGCGCCGCAAAGTACGCAGACACCATCGCCAAACGCTTCGCTCTTACGCCGACCACCATCTCCACGCCATACCGCTACACGGCAGGAAACAACAAGGAAGGATCCACTCCGCTAAAGCCCGCCGGCATACGCGACTACCAAAGAAAGCTAGGCTGTCTCCTCTTCGCAGCCGTCACTTGCCGACCGGATCTATCATACTCCGCAAGCCAGCTCGCCACCTACCTCAAGAAACCTGAAGCAGACCACATGGCAGAACTAGACTGCGCTCTCCACTACCTCGTCAGTATCCCAACCGTCGGCCTAACCTACCACAAAAACGGAACCACGACTCCTAAACTAATCGGCTACGTCGACGCCGATCACGCCGGCGACTCCGACAACAGACGTTCCCGCACCGGCTACATCTACCGCTTCGAACCTATCGGTCCTATCTCCTGGCAGTCGAGCAAACAGGAATTAATTGCCCTCTCTTCAGCTGAAGCAGAATATATCGCACTCTGCTCAGCCACCAAGGAAGGACTGTACCTTCGCGAACTTCTGGAGGAAGCGAAGCTGGCCCAGTTACCCAGCTTCACCCTGTTCTGCGACAACCAGTCAGCAATTCGCATAGCCAACAAGAACGGCTTCGTGAATAGAACGAAACACATCGCCCTACGATATTTCCTCGTGAAGGACGAGATCGAGAAGGGAAGACTCAAACTGTCATACTGCCCTACATCCGAAATGGCAGATGACTACTTGACCAAGAAGCTCGGAAAGCAGAAGTTCGAGTACTGCATGCTACTGACTGGACAGAGCCACGTCACCAGCAGCGACACTCCAGAAGCGAAGGGGAGTGTTGGAAACAACTAATTCTAAGCGCCTCTGTCGTGTCGAAACACCAAGTCAGAAGCGAAGCAAAGTATATCGAAGCACCGGCGAGTCAACCCTCGGAGGTTGAGCAGTTGCTAGAGGTTACGCGAAAGTCAAAGGTCAGCGACCTTTTACCTGACAAATACAGCGCGACAGCAAGGACACACAACTGACTCGCTACAGCGCAGTTGCCCGAGTCGTCACTGTATCGAACCGCAACAGCAACAGTAAAGTAGTTGCAACCGTATCTCTTCGTATTCCTTGTACTCTTATATAATGTTGTATCTCTTTGCTTTAATCAATTCACTTTGCCCTCACATACCAGCGCAAGGTGGTTCAACTACTTCATTAAACGCTTCCGCTAAATTACAACAAGTCCTACCCAGAGTTCAGCCCTGCAAAGATCCTAAGGGCTTTTCTCAGCCCAACAGATTGTATAACAAAACAGAACTGGAAGGTTTGCAATGGAATGAATGATTATGAAACCACACAGCAGGGAATTTATGCTACCAGCTACTCTGCCCATACCCATCCATTCACACCAATAATTGTACCACCAATAATGGCAACTCCAATGAAAGAGTACCAATAATTATACCCCCCACACCTCTAGACTCCAATAATTCCAGCCCTACAATAATTGTACAATGATTGTAGGCCCTGAAGTCTTATAAGGAGGACTACAGTAAAATCTAACAGCATACCTATTTCTGTATGTTATGTATTTCTCAACAAAAACTACCAATTCTTGTGCTTTAGTACGTGGTGCTCCTTGCCAGCTTGTCAGACTAGCATTAGGAGGTCACATCGGAGCACCAGAATACTAAGAAGATTCAACGTTTTTACAGTGTTCTGTTTGTATATGAGAAGCTGGGTAGACTGCCGGATGTAACATAATGGCGTTACTGCTGTTGGCGAAGGGGCGAACTCACTCTCTCTTTTCTGGCGATTCTCGTTTGAAGGTCCCAGCGGAGTCGGCTTCACCTGGGCGGCTCGATCTCTTTCATCCACGGCGGGTCGCATCCGTTTCAAGTCAATTGAATCACAATGAGATGCAGCATTATCGAGGGAGCGGTCAGCCAATCACAAATAAGGTCCCCTAGGAGATTTATCCCTCGAGCCGCTCGTCGTGATAGGGGCTGAAGCGATGCTTCTTTGCTCCTGCGTGCGTTCGCCTTGGCCTGGGTTAGGCCAGGTGCTTGTGCTGGGGGGCGGGCTTTGGTTGGGCTGGGCTGGTTCAGCCCTGGGTGCTGGTGCGGCCTCGCGGTCTGGACCATAGGTTGTCGACTCTGGTTGGTTGGAGGAAGACCATAGGAAGTCTCGGTGGATTACCTCTATACACAGCTGCGCAGTCAGCGATGCGACGCCGTCTCGTCGACGAAAAATATAAAGTGCATTCTTTAGGTCAACGTGTCCGGTCATCCGCCACTTCGTCTCAGTTACGCTACCTTGGGAGAGCACATAGGCCACTAACTAACAACCCTAGTATCATCCCTGTTGCCGAGCGTCCTCATTTTTACGAGAAAACACAAAAATCCTCAGCTTGGCCGACAGACAACTTCTCGAGCCGCTTTGAAGGCTCCTGCGAGGGCTTCGTATCCAATGGGGGCATCCAGCCTGTGGGCGCAATTACCGCTCCTGTTTTTCCTGGTGCTGCTCTTCGTCAGTCATGGAGCCACCGCATCGCCGCAAAATGTACCGGTCACCGCTAACTATGTCGGCGGAATCACAAGCGTGGCAAAGTCTCAGCCGTACGAGGGCTGGGGCGGGCTGTCGCTGATGGAGCTGGAGGCCGCCGCGAAAGCCGCCGCAGAAGCCGCCGCGAGCGCCGCTGAGGAGGCCGAGCCCACATCAGCGACGAGCTCGTCCGAGGCCGGCGAGCGCGTTTCAGAGGAAGGAGATGCCGAGGGCGCGTTGCGCCGAAGCCTCGCGTGAGTATCAGCACAATATCGAGTATAGGGTGCATACTCAGCGTTACGACTTTCGCGTTTGCTTCTTTTGAAGTCCAACAAAGCACAGGCATTCGTTCTTCTGGCTTGGCCTAATCGCCGGCACTGACTGCACATCTCATCCCCCGCCGCTCCGCCCCGCGCCCCTCCCTTCCGCGTTTCCCCTACTTTCCAACCATCCGCAGTGGCAGCTCCGCGCTCAGTCCACTCGCGTCCGCGTGGCACAGCCTCCTGATCGCGCAGTACATGAGCCGAACCACGGCGTGCGGCGCAACGCTAACGCGCGCGTGCCGCGCGCTGCAGATGGCGGACAGCCTCGTGAAGTCGGGGAAGCCGGGGGAAGCCGTCGCGCAGACCAAGCTGGCCGGGTCTCTCGCACACGTAAGTGCCGGAAAAGAGAGTTGCTCGTCTGAGACCTTTGGTTCTCGTCCCGAGTTGTTCGAATTGATTGACACATGCGCTTCCGCGGTGGTTGCAGGCATGCGCGGGACGCGTCCCGGCGAGCGCGGCGCAGCAAATACGCCTCGCCCTGCCGCAGATAAGCCTCGGCCAGAACGCTCTTTTGGCTGGCGGGTCGAAATCCGTGCGCCCGTCGAGTACGAGCGCGAAGAAATCCAGCTCGTCCGGAGGGAAATCGAGCTCGTCCGGAAGTAAATCGAGCACATCTGGGAAGAGAACGACGTCGACTGGGAGGAAGAAGGGCGGGCACAAGTGGAAAGACACCCCTGCCACGACGAACCGCAAAAAGGGGGGCCACAAGTACAAGAATGCCCCAACCACGAACAACCGCGTAAAGGGGGGGCACAAATACAAGCGGGGCGCCAGGAGAAGTGGTTCGCGAAGTGGGCAAGGCTCGCGAAGCGGTTCGCGAAAGAGCGGGAGTTCTTCCAAGGCGCCTGCGAAGAAAAATGGCGATATCGGCTGGTTGGGACACAACGACGTTGCGCAGGGGATAATGCAGTGGCTGCCGTATGGTAACCCGATCGACGACTGCTGGATGGGTCCCAATTGGCAAGCCACTCCGACGAAATTGGCGAGCTGCGTCGAGGGTTACGCGACGGGAACCACTGGCGGCGCGAATGGGCGCATTTACCATGTGACGTCGAATCAGGACGATCGGATCAACCCCAAGCCCGGCACACTGCGATACGGCGCAACCCGGGTAAGCGAGCGGGAAAAAGGGGGGACGTGTGCGCCTTTCAAGTTGCGTCCTTATTCGACCTGCGCATATTTCCGTCATAACTCCGTCCTTATTCCAAAATTTCCAACCCCAGGCTGAGCCGCTGTGGATTGTATTCGACGACGACTTTGACTTTAGCGCGCTGGATGCGGAGATCATCGTGTATAACGACAAAACGGTGGACGCGCGTGGGCGAAAGATCACGATGGGTAACGGGCCGTGCATGGCCATCGAGTTTTCGCACAACGTCATCGTGCACGGCATGGCGTTCAAGAACTGCAAGAACCGCGTGTAAGTGATGCAGCCCCGTGCTGTTCCGTCCTTGTGCTTTTGTAATACGGTATCACCTCCTCTCTTCCCTCGCACAACGTCATCGTGCACGGCATGGCGTTCAAGAACTGCGAGAATCGACTGTATGTAACATAGCCCCCCGTTTCCTCTCCTGTGCTGTTGAGGCACCTCCACTGACAGAACCGTCTGTCACCGGATGATTCAAAGTTGGCTGTTTAAAAAGCGCGCTGACCAAACCAGTGGCAAGCACCCTCTCTTCCTCTGCGCTAACCCCCCCACCCCCCTCTCCCCTTCCCTCATTTCTAACAGCGGTGCTATCTCGCTGACCACGGGCCCGGACAATACAGTGGGCGGGCGGAACTACCTTAACGGGTATGGGCTGTACATCTACGCTTCCCACCATGTGTGGGTGGACCACTGCTCGTTTGACTACGCGGACGACACCCACATTGATATTGTCGCCGCCAGCACTGCCATCACCGTCTCCAACTGCTACTTTACAAATCAGGATAAGGTGGGTAAATTTGTGCAAGAAATAGTGTTGAGGGATGTTATAAGGGGGACGAATGTGGACAGACACCCACATTGACATTGTCGCCGTCAGCACTGCCATCACCGTGTCCAACTGCTTCTTGTAGGCGTGAGTGTAGGCACTGAGGTTGGGTTTTCAGGGGACTAGTGTGGCAATCCCCCTTATATTGCCTTCCCCCGCCTCACTTTCATGCCTTCCTCTCCACCTTCCATCCCCAACCCCCACCCTCCTTCCTTTCCACTACCACTCGCCCAGGTCATCTTGATGGGGCATGATGATGCGTATAGTGCCGACCGTGCCATGCGTGTAACTGTCATGCTGAACAAGTTCGGGCCGAACCTGTCGGAGCGCCTGCCTCGGGGCAGGTTCGGGCAGTTCCACGTCTTGAACAACTACTACCCGAATGGGTGGAACATCTACGCCATTGGTGGCAGCGCCGACCCGACGTTTCTGAGCGAGGGAAACTATTTTGTGGCCAATGACAAGCCGTTTCTCAAGGAGGTATATTGCTCTTCAAACCTCCCAGGTCATCTTGATGATATCAGCTCTTCTGAAGCTCTCTCTGCTTGTTCCTGGAAGGCTCTTCACACTGCTGTAAGCCTGTTCTCTGCTGTGCGGTGCTGTGTCTGCTGTGCTGTCTCTGCTGTGCTGTCTCTGCTGTGTTGCCTCTGCTGTGCTGCCTCTGAGCAGGTGACGAAGCACAACATAGCAGCAGGGCAGTCAACGTACATGAGCTGGGACTGGCAGTCAGTAGGTGACCACTTTGAGAACGGGGCATTTTTCACCAAGAGTGGCTCGCCGGGCTATAAACCTTCTTACTCTTACAAAGCACTCAGTGCTCTGGAGGTGCCACGTGCAACCAATCGTGCTGGCCCTATTGGACAATAGGCTGGTATGTGAGATGGTGTTGCTAACTTCAACTGGCAGGTGGGGATGGTTGCTAGGAGACTTGTGCGCTGCAACTTCTGAAGCATAGAGTGAGACTAGGATTCTGACTACCATTCCGGCAGAGCTAGATTTAGGGGCGTCATAGTAAGAAGATGCGTAGGCAAGGGACAATGATATGGGCATGCTATTGGCGCTAGAGTAGTTAATTGCGGGGTATGTCTGGATTAGTTTAATGATGTTGTCTGAGGCGCTGTACTACTTCGTGATTTTATATTGACCTTGATGACATTTATGCTATATCAGTTTCATGGGTACCAGTTTCATAGCACATCAACATGGAAAGTAAGCCACTTAGAATGCACATCACCAGGAATGTTTGCAGAACAGCGACGCATCTGTGTTTTCGTTTCTGTCACGCGCAACCATCTCCGTCGGATTCGGGTCCTCTCGTCAATCCCGAGGCTCATTCTCATCTCACCTGACCTGCTGCGGATTTCCGTCCCGCCTTCCGTCAAAGCCTGCCTGATCCCTGACACATGCCTCTAAACCTGCCTGTAATCAGCACCCCCTCTAAAGGGTAAATAAACTGGAGCAAATACCTAGGTTTTTTTGTCCCTTCTGTTCAGTTAGTGGCCTTGTGTAGCAGGGCTGAGTTTCTGCAGCCCGGAGACTAGTTGTGGAACACGTCAGACGCCATAAATCAGCAGGATTACCCATCAAGATTGCTTGGTTGGTACTTTTCGTTCCTGTGTCTCCGTCTTGTTAACAAACCAGGCTTGTTAGAAGCCTGACACGCAGGCCTCATCAGACACGGGGAAGACCTAGGCTTTTCCCGAAAAAGGCGTAGCTTGCGTGGAACGGATTTTACGGATTTTACCGAGCCTGCTTACGGAAACTGTTGACGGAGTTTACGGACGAAGTTCACTTTCGGCGGAGTCTGATTACAGTCGTCAACGGAACCTCCGGCTGTAGTCTATTGACAAAGTTTGGTTTTCGTCATGGGAGCGACAAGGAAGCTACAAGGAGAGATCGACCGGGTGCTGAAGAAGGTCCAAGAAGGGGTAGAAATCTTCGACGGCATATGGAATAAGGTACACAGGACGAGCTTGTGACAACCTCGAATCTTCTTAACATTGTCGCCGCTGTTGTCGTCATACGAGATTATCATTAGCTTGGCGGTTCCTTTTACGATCATTGGCCTTACCACATCCACTTAGCTGGCGGTCCCAGAGCCATCTGACTCTTCTAGGGTTTCGGTGCTGTTGATTGAGATGCTATCGCAGTCTATGCGGTAGTCGAACAATATCGACTCGACGAGTCAAGTATTACTAGCACGTGAATCATTCCGCATGACTCTGGACGTCTCGTCCTCTTGACGGTACCATGCTTGATTGAAGCGGCTTGAAGGATATGCCTGAAATGGCAAATGCCGTTAGCTCCGTTGTTCTTCCTCCATCGCCTGGCCCTCTCGCTTGCGCAGGCGTTAACTCGGAAAAGTTTGCAGAGTTTCTATACTCTTCTCAAGACGTTTCAAATCTCGCCTCCGCTCCCCTTTCCCCTCTCGTTCGTGTCATGTCTTGCCTTGTCTCAGGTGTACGACACGGAGAACCTGAACCGGAAGGAGAAGTGCTTTGAGTCGACTCAATTCCACCTCGTCCGTGTCATGTCCTGTTTTGTCTCCTCAGGTGTACGACACGGAGAACCCGAACCAGAAGAAAGAGAAGAGTCTTAGATGGACTTGAGACTCACCTGTTCGTGTCATGTCTCGCCTATTTTCGTCTCAGGTGTACGACACGTAGAACCTGAACCAGAAGGAGAAGAGTGTTTAGTCGACTCAATATCACCTCGTCCGTGTCATGCCTCATGTCTCGCCTATTTTCGTCTCAGGTGTACGACACGGAGAACCTGAGCCAGAAGGAGAAGTTCGAGGCGGACCTGAAGAAGGAGATAAAGAAGCTGCAGCGGTACCGCGACCAGATCAAGACATGGATCCAGTCCAGCGAAATCAAGGACAAAAAGGTGAGCTATACCGTTTCTTTTGAGACGTTGTAAGGCGCCTCAGAAGGCGACCAGATGAAGACAGCGAAATCAAAGGCAAGAAGGCGAGTGACAAGGTGAGCTTCAATGCTCCTTCTGCGACGTTGTAAGGCGCCTCAGAAGGCGACCAGATCAAGACATGGATCCAATCCAGCTAACGTAAAGAAAACATGTCGAGTCCCAGAGCTCTTCCATTGCCGTACTCATGCTCCCTCCTGCGTTTGTAGACGGTGCCTGCATTCGCATGTGTTATCCTGCATTCTCGCTTACCTCTTCAACCGGACTTCATGAAATAAATCCCGTATCGGGAGTGCGTTGTGCGGTTGATAATGGATTTGCATATGTTCTTTGCTACCTGTTGCGCTCCCCTCCCCCATTTCTCCCTCCGCCGACGTCCCCTGGCTGGCAGGCGTTGCTGGATGCGAGGAAGCTAATAGAGCGGGAGATGGAGCGGTTCAAAGTGTGCGAGAAAGAGACCAAAACGAAAGCTTTTAGTAAAGAGGGGCTCGGTCAACAGCCAAAGACGGTACACTGAAACACCTCTTTCTCTGCTTGCTGTGCTGTGCAGTTCTGCACCCCTGTTCTTCTGTTGTTGGGTGTGCGGTTCTCTGCTGGTTGTGCTCTGATTCTGTCTGGTTGTTATCCTGCAGGACCCGAGGGAAAAGGCCAAGTCGGAGTCTCGTGATTGGTTGAATCAGATGGTAAGACTGGCGTGCTTTTTCCTCTGCCGTGCGTTGCTCTTCTCTACGACTGTTATACTCAGCTGCTCCGTTCGACCACTATATCATTCCTGCACACTTGTTCCGGACTGTTCCGTTTTCTCACTCGCTCATCTCCAATCGCATGTCTCATCCTTGACCCCCCTTCCGTCCCTTCCGTCCACTCCCACACTCCCTGTGCCCCTTGGTCCGCCGCCAGGTGAGCGAGCTGGAGTCACAGATTGACGGGTTTGAGAGCGAGATGGAGGGGCTGCAAGTCAAGCGGGGCAAGCAGCGCCCGCCAAGCCTGGTAAGCACCGGCCTTTGGGTCTGGTAGTTACTACTGCTATGCTAATTATGTCCCCTTTGAGTACTCAACCCACCTTTGCCTGATTGCACTTACCCAGCACTCCCCTCCCTCACCCTCACCCCCCTTATCCCTCCTCTCCCCCCTCCTTCTGTCTGCTTTCTGCGCGGCACAAGGCGCACATCACACACCTGGCGATGACTTCGTTCCCTCTGAGTGCACTAACCCAACCCAACACTTCTCCACTCCTCCCACCCACCCACCCACTCCTACCCATCCCTACCCACCCCTTCCCACCACGGCAGATGCATCTGGAGGAGTCGATCACGCGGCACAAGGCGCACATCACGCGGCTGGAGATGATTCTGCGGCTGATGGACAACGACGAGCTGAGCCCCGAGCAGGTCACGGACGTGAAGGACCTCGTGGAGGACTATGTTGAGAGGAACCAGGTGTGTATTGTGTTGGAGGGAGGGAGGGAGATAGAGGGAGGGGGGGGAGGGTTAGTGTTGGATGCGCAGGGACGACGAGCTGAGCCCCGAGCAGGTCACGGATGTGAAAGACCTGGTGGAGGATTACGTTGAGAGGAACCAGGTGAGGCGCTGGTGGATATGGGTGGAGGGGAGCCTAGGGTAAGAGAGTGGCTCAACGACGAGCTGAGCCCCGAGCAGGTCACGGACGTGAAAGACCTTGTGGAGGATTACGTCGAGAGGAACCAGGTGATTATTGGGGGGCGAGAGGGAAAGGAAGATAGAGGAGGGGGGGGATTGGTGTTGGTGGTCTAGGGACAATGACTGAGCCCCGAGCAGGTCACGGACGTGAAGGACCTCGTGGAGGACTACGTGGAGAGGAACCAGGTGAGGCGCTGGTGAGGTTGCCGGTGGGGAAACGGGTGAGGAAGGGGGTGGGGGTCTAGGAGGTTTGGGCTCGATTTGAATCATACCTGTCGTGCCCTACACCTGATTCCCTCCCTCTTTGTTGGCGCTTCAAAGAAATCTCCTTTTAATCCCCCCGTCCTAACCTCCCCACCCCTCCTTCCCCTCCCCACCCCTCCTTCCCCTCCCCCTCCCCCCCCCCCCCCCTTCTGCCCGCGTCCTTCCTCTCATGACAAGCAGGACGACTTTGAGGAGTTCTGTGAGCCGGACGATCTGTACGAGCCCCTTGAGTCAGTACCCATCGTATCGTGTCTTCCCCTCCCCAACCACCACCCGCTTCCCTCCCTTCTCTGGGACCTGGCAGGACGACTTTGAGGAGTTCTGTGAGCCGGACGATCTGTACGAGTCGCTGCCTCTAGAGAAGATGGACGCCCTCGAGTCGCTCGAGTCCGTGCCCATCGTGCCACCAGCCGTTGTGGTGAAGGAGAAGGCGGCTGTCGCTGCTGCCTCGGGGCTAGCGCTGCCCAAGTCCATCCTCACTGCTTCCTCCCTACCGGTACTTGCTTGATGCATCTCACTGCACCTTTCTGCACCTTATAACAGCTCATTACACTTTTTCCAGAAGCTTTTTTCCCTGTCTCTCAGAACTGCCTTCCCTCTCCCTCCCCCTCTCCCCGCTCCATCCTCCTTCCCTGGCTGCTTGTCTCTCTCCCCGACAACCCACGGAATTCGGAGCAGCAAGGGCACTTAAAAGTCGACTCAAAAGTCAACGTCTTTCTCCTAACTTCCCTGCCTGCTTGTCTCTCTCCCCGACAATCCACGGAACCCGGAGCAGCAAGGGCACTGGCACATCCGTTACCCCCTTCCGTCTCTTCTTACACATCTGACTCTGCCGCCACTCAGATAAAATTTCCACTCACAGCTCTCTCTCAGGCCTCTTTCCCATCATATTTTTGCTCATTTCCCATCTCCCACTCAACACCCGCCCCTGCCCGTGGCTCCTTCCTCTTCCTCCTCTTCTCCATTCCCATCCCCTGCATGCTTCCACAGAAATCAGGACCAGCGGGAACACTCGCGCATCCCTCACCCCCATCCGTCTCTTCAGACACATCTGACTCGGTCGCTACAGATGACTCCTCCTCCACTCATAGCTCCTCCCGCACTGCCGCTGCTGCCGCCGCCGCCGCCGCTACAGCCGCCCCCCTCCCCGCCACCATCACCACCTCCTCTGCTGCCTCCTCCCGCGCTACAGCCGGCCGTGCTGCTGCTGCTGCTGCTACAGCCAGAGCAGTGGCACCTGCAGCAGCAGCAGCAGCAGCAGCAGCAGCACCAGCAGTAACAACAGTAGCAGGAGCAGGAGTGGTAGCAGCAGCGCCTGTTGCTGCAAGCACGGTTACGGTTACCAGTGGGGGACGAGTAGGGGCGAAGGAAGGAGGTGGTGGGGGAGAGGAAGGGGCAGGAGGGTCAGGGCATGGTATGGCAAGTGTGGGGGGTAAGAGAGTGGGTCCGGGAATAGGGGAAGTCGCAGGGGGAGTGGCAGGGCGGCACAACAGATCTGCAGATGTTGGTTCTGCCAATGGGGCTGCAGGAACAGTGTCTTCAGGTTCGGCAGGAGGTCCGGCAGCCAGTGTAGGTTCGGGCTCGGCAGCTGCAAAAGCAGGGAAGAAAGGGGCGAGTTTGGCTGCGATTGTTGGCGGTTCTGGTACTCCCGGCGTTGCTGCTGCTGGTGCTGCTGCTGGCGCTGCTGGGGCTGTCATTGCGGGCCCAGGCCCTCGGTCGATCACTTCTCCTCCTCCCCCATTCACTGTTTCTGGGGCGGCCGTGCCTGCCGCTGCCGGGCCTCCAGGTTCGGCCGTGCCTAGCTACTCACACGCTGCAGCTGGTGGGGTGCAGCAGCAGGCAGGCGAAGCAGCAGCGGCGGCAGCAGCAGGGGCAGGGCTGTTGCCAGGGGTCGGGGTGGCTGCTGGTCAGGCCGCCCCTGGGAGTATCAACGGGGCTGTGGTTGGTGTTAATGGCACGAATGGAATTGCAGCAAGACCTCCCTTGCTCTCCGTGGGCTCTTCTCCTGTCCCTCCTTCTGCCCTCGCTTCTGGTCCCATGCAATCCAGTGCAGTGATGTCCACCGGCCTTGCCCCGGGTGGCCTCGTTCGTCCGTTTGCAGCCGCAGCAGGCGGGGCACCAGGTGCTTCTTCAGGTGTTTCTGACTCCGCTGCCGTCGCTGGCTCGGCAACGCCAGGCGCGTCCATCCTTTCGTCCGGCCTTCCCGGAGCAGCAGGCTCGGCGGCAGGCCTGGGAGTCGGCTCGGTGGGAGGCTTGGCGTCGCCAGGCTCTGCAGGGGCAGGCATGATGATGCCAGGCGTAGGCGGCGTGGGAGGGGTGGGACAGGGAGGGGTGGGAGCAGGGCTGGGAGCAGCGGCCGCCAATGTGTTGAGTGCGCAGCAGAGGATGTTCAATGCGGTGGGGGCACAGTGGAGGCCTGGGCTTCCCAGTTCAGCTGCTTTCCAGCAGCTGCAGGGAGGCGTGGCTGCTGCTGATGGCACTGGCGGGCTGTCTGCTCTCCCTGCTGGGGTCCGCTTTCCTCCGGGGGTAAGTGGATTGGAATTGTCTGCTTGGAATAGTAAGCACTGGTTGGACGAATAGACTTCATGAGATTGGCCGCGTGTATTAGGGTTTACTAGATGACCACGTCTCCAAGCCCCACCTTCCCTCCCCATCCCTCCTTGGTGCCAGCCAGTCAGTTCCATTCCAGCTGCTTAACACCCCCACACCTACCCAGTAACCCTCCCCCTCACCCCCCCCCATTCTCCCCTCCCTCCAGTTCCAGCGCACAGAGATAGCACCGGACCAGAAGCAGAGGTACATTACCCGGTTTCAGCAGGTGCAGCAGCAGGACCTCTTCAGTAACCTCCCCTCTCCTTGTCTCTCCCCATTTTCGGTCCCCCATCCCCTCTCCCCCACTCCCTCCAGTTCCAGCGCACAGAGATAGCACCGGACCAGAATCAGAGGTACATTACCCGGTTTCAGCAGGTGCAGCAGCAGGACCTCTTCAGTAACCTCCCCTCTCCTTGTCTCTCCCCATTTTCGGTCCCCCATCCCCTCTCCCCCCCTCCCTCCAGTTCCAGCGCACAGAGATAGCACCGGACCAGAAACAGAGGTACATTACCCAGTTTCAGCAGGTGCAACAGCAGGACCTCTTCAGTAACCTCCCCTCTCCTTGTCTCTCCCCATTTTCGGTCCCCCATCCCCTCTCCCCCCCTCCCTCCAGTTCCAGCGCACAGAGATAGCACCGGACCAGAAGCAGAGGTACATTACCCGGTTTCAGCAGGTGCAACAGCAGGGGGTCACTGCTGCAGTCATGGCTGCCGCTGCTGCTGCCGCCGCTGCTGGCGCCGGCTCGGCAGCAGGTTCGGGAGCGTCCCTTGCTGGTTCGACGTCGGCTGGGAACTTGGCGTCTCCCTTGCTGGCCATGCAGCAACATCCTGTGGTATGTTTCATTCCGTGCTTACTTTCCATGACGTTATGCTGTGCTTTTGCTGTAAGCCCAAGAACGATTAGATTTCGTCCTGTGCATACCATTAGCCATGTAGCACGATGTTGTTACGTGACCTGGTTTTCGTGCTGTGCTGTTGGAGCCCTTCGAAAGGGAGGCTGCAAGGGTGTGCTACGAAGCACCGCACTACACCGCATGGCACCAGATCATTCGGGCAGTGCACAGCATGGCACCACTTTATTCTCTGGTGGCGTTGAGTTTTTTTGTGAGATGGAATGGAACACGATGCGGTAGCCTGTGGCTTACTGTGGTACCGTGCGGTGCTTTGTAACCCGAAACAGTGCAATGCGGTGCGATTTCTTTGCCACCTCACTTACCCTTGCATGCCTTTGCCAACACATCCCGTTTCTGCCCTACCCTGCCCATACCCGTGTCAACTTTCAGCTGTCCCAGTCGCCTCTTCCCCCGCAGCAGCAGCAGCAGCAACAACAGCAACTACAGCAGCAGCAGCAGCAACAGCAAGTACTTGCAACTCAATCATCAGCAGCAGGAGCTGCAGGGGTGGGCCCAGACGGACAGGCAAGGCAGGGTGGAGGGGAAAAGAGTGAGGATCAGACGCAGGGGCAGGCACAACTGAGGCATGTGGGCCTGGGGATGAACGGGCCTCAGTCACAACAGCAACAGCAGCAGCAACTACAGCAGCAACAACAGCAGCAGCAGCAACAGCAAGAGGCAAAGATTGCAGAGGCACAGCAGCAGCAGCAACAGCAGCAGCAACTGGAGCAGGAGAAGCAACAGCAACAGCAGCAGCAACAGCAACAGCAGCAGCAGCAGCAGCAGTTGCAGCAGCAGTTACAGCAACAGCAGGCAGCAGGCGTATCTGGGGAAGGCAGCATGGATCCCCAGCAACAGCAGCAGCTGCTTCTGCTACTCCAGCAGCAGGAGCATCAGCGCTTGCAGCAACAACAACACCAACAGCAGCAACAGCAGCAACAGGAGCAGCAGCAGCGGCTTTTGCCTTCCCCTCCCCCTCTACTCGCTCAGCAACAGCAGCAACAGCAGCAGCAGCATATGGGGCACATGGCAGGAGCAGGGGCAGTAGGCCCCTCTATGCCGCCCTCTGCCCCCCCCTCCTCCTTCCCCCCACCATCCTCCGCCGCCCCTCCAACCACCACCGCCTCTCTCCCTGCAAATGCCCTCTCTTCTGCCACAGCTGCTGCTTTTGCTGGTGCATCGCTTTCAGCACCAGGGGTCATTGGAAGAAAGCAAGGGGGAGCGGGGATGGGCGACACAGGGCCGATCAGCGACCCCATGTCTCTACCCGCTGCTGCTGGTTCTGGCAACGCAACTGGAGCAGGAGGAGCAGCAGCAGGAGCAGGAGCAGTGGGAGCAGTGGGGGCAGTGGGAGCGGGAGGGGTGGGGCAAGGAGGAGGAGGAGGCGGGGCAGCAGCAGGGGCGCCAGTGGATCATGCACTGAATCTGGCTCTGCTGGACTCGTCCTTTGGAAACTTGCCACAGCCCAAGGACTCGGAACGACCGAGGGCCTACATTCCGGTGAGTTTGTGTGCTTGTATTGCATGCCTCTTAGATTGCATTGCTTGAGCTGCTATTGACTCGTCGCATGCTCCCTTCCCTCTCCACCTCCTTCTCCTCTCCCTCTGCCACTCTCTCCCCTTCAGCGGAACCCCGCCATCACGCCTGCCAGCTACCCCCAGGCGCCAGCAGCAGTGCTGGAGCACCCAGGGCTGTGGGAGCGGCTGGACATGGACGTTCTCTTCTTCGCCTTTTACCACCAGCAGGTATGCACGAGTAACAACCTGGTTACCACTACCAGTATCAGTTTCCCATGCACCAAGAGCTTGGGTTTGGTTGGGCTGGGTTGGGTTGGGCTGGGCTGGGCTGGGTTGGGTTGGGCTGGGCTGTACTTGGCGCAAATGTCGACAAGCACCCGCCCAGGGCTGTGGGAGCGGCTGGACATGGGCGTGCTCTTCTTCGCCTTCTACCACCAGCAGGTATGCTCCTTCGCCTTGTACCACTAACAGCTTTTTTCAAGTCACAGTGCAGTAACTTGTCGTGATTTGGCCTTTCTTCTCCTCCATGCTGCTCCATCCCCCATCACCTCCCCAGTCCCCAGTCCCTGCCCATCCATTCCCCTCCCTCCAATCGTACCAGGGCACGTACCAGCAATACCTGGCTGCTCGGGAGCTAAAGAAGCAGTCGTGGCGCTACCACAAGAAGTACAACACGTGGTTCCCTCCCTCCCTGCCCCTCCACCCCACTCATCCACCATCCCCGCCCACCAGGGCACATACCAACAGTACCTGGCTGCACGTGAGCTCAAGAAGCAGTTGTGGCGCTACCAAAAGAAGTACAACACGTGTTTCTCCCCCTCCCTGCCCCTCCATCCCCCTCTCTCCAACCCCGCCAGGGCACGTATCAACAATACCTGGCTGCACGTGAGCTAAAGAAGCAGTCGTGGCGCTACCACAAGAAGTACAACACGTGGTTCCAGAGGCACGAGGAGCCCAAGCTCACCACCGATGACTACGAGCAGGGCACCTACGTGTACTTTGACTTTCACATCGTGCATGACGACTACCAGACCGGATGGTGAGTGGGAGAGGATGGGGAAGTGGTTGTTGGGACCGTGTTGTTTTCAGTGGGGTAAGAGCACAGCAAGCAGGGCACCTATGTGTATTTTGACTTCCACATCGTGCATGACGACTACCAGACCGGATGGTGAGAGCACTCAGTTGTTTGATGCGTGTGTGTTGGGAGAATGTAGTAGAGAGAGAGCCAGAGAGCAGTGAGCAGGGCACCTATGTGTACTTTGATTTCCACATCGTGCATGACGACTACCAGACCGGATGGTGAGAGCACTCAGTTGTTTGATGCGTGTGTGTTGGGAGAATGTAGTAGAGAGAGAGCCAGAGAGCAGTGAGCAGGGCACCTACGTGTACTTTGACTTCCACATCGTGCATGACGACTACCAGACCGGATGGTGAGAGAGAGAGGATGGACATTGTGAGAGCATGCAATGTTGGGTCCACGATTGGGGCAACAGAGGAAGAGCACTATGAGCAGGGCCCTTATGTGTATTTTGATTTCCACATTGTGCGTGATGACTACCAGACCAGATGGTGAGAGGATGGGAATGCAGTTGTTGGGACCAATGTTGGGGTGATTGAGTTCCTCCCCACCTCCCCTTCCTCCCTTCTCCCGTCCTCATCCCTCCCCTCTGGAAACTAGACTCTGGTCCCGTTCAGTTCTGTCATGTTGTCTAATGCCTTGCGAATTGCAATGCCTGTGGGACCCTTACCAGGTGTCAAAGGATCAAGACGGAGTTCACATTTGAGTACAGCTACTTGGAGGATGAGCTGCCTGCTGCTTGACAAGACGAGAGCTGTAGTAGAAGAGTCCAAAACAGGGGCTTGCCTAGCAGCACAGTGGCTTTGCTGACTTGGTTGGCTGCTGCCATTCTGTCTAGTTTGAAAGCATGTGTCTTTTAGTCTGGGAGCGCTGCTTCAGCTTTTTGGTAGCATTATTTATCCACGAACACTGGCAGCTTGTGTGTTCATGGGATTTTTGGGCTTGGTGAACTTTCAGCCATTGACAAAAATACATGTTCCTTGAGATCCAAGTGTCTTATGTTGCAGTTTTTGTTTTGGGCCTTTGGATGAACCCAGGAGTCACAAGAGAAACTGGATTCAGAATGAGTGCCTGGTTGCCTTCCACCATTTCCCGTTGAATCTGAAACTGTGTTTGTTTGTTTTATTTATATTTTTTTGTTTACCGGATTTCCACAATGTGTCGACTGCCATTTTTGGTTGAAGGATCCCTTTGCGCGGGAATCATCATGATTGGCCTGACCGGTTGGGTAGTTTAGCTTTCCTATCTCGCCTTCTATTGGGCAGTCGACTCCACGAAAAACGGAGACAATGTGAGGGATGAAAATCATCTGCTAGCGTTGCGAGCAACCATGTGCATGTAAGTTGGCCCATGTGTCGCAATCATTACATCAGCTTGATTCCGGTGCTGAGAAAGCTCTTGTGATTGTGAAACATTTTCACTTTCGAGGTGGTTGAAATGCCGTTCTCCTGCATAGATAATACATGAACTATGGGAAATTATACGCGCAGTCACAATTATGGCCGTATTATCACGTTTGGTCACGGGGTTATCACGGACAGTCACAGTACAGTACTTCGCCATCACACATGATCACAGCGCTATCACGCTTGATCACTCCTCGCCCCGCAGGGTTATCACGTTTGGTCACTCGTTGAAACGCCCGCCAAAAAGTCGAAACTCTCAAATCTACTGTAAAGATTCGGGTACTTCTATCTCGCGCGCGTTTTGTCTGTAGTGAAAAACGTGATGTGACTGTCGAAATATACTCGGTCCTTGTTAGGGACCGATGCAGTAGCAGTTTCGATTATATAATTAGTTTATGGTGTGCATTTCATCCATAAAACAGTGAGAGCATTGTAATTATGTTTAGCACAGTGACAATAGCTTTAGCTGGTGGGAAACCCATACAATTGACTTATATTAGAGGGAAAACCGTTGAACGTTACAGGCGGGGAAATGCATATACGACACGTAATTGCGTTGGTTGATATGTGTAATTTAACTATTTAGAATTAATCAAACCCATTTATGATGGACATGTTTAGTGTAATTGCATCTTGTAATATAAGCTTATGCCGATGTGAATAATTGATAACTGTAACCTGTATAGTTTGATACTGTCTAACACATTGTGTTGTGGTAGTTCGACATACGGTATGTCCGTTCTTCCGAATAGTTTTATTATTGGCGTTCACTTCATTCACTACACTGCTAACAAGCTAAAAACAAGTTCAGTGTCAGGCGCACAATCGATTGATAAGATATGATGTTTCTTAGAATTGATGGTTTTCTTTGGTACTTTTGCAACAAATTAGTATAGTTTATTTATTTTTAATAATAACTGCAGACAATAGTTTGCGGACTCTGCATTAAACTGCATCGGTCCCTAACAAGGACCGATTATATTTCGACAGTCACATCACGTTTTTCACTACAGACAAAACGCGCGCGAGATAAAAGTACCCGAATCTGTACAGTAGATTTGAGAGTTTCGACTTTTTGGCGGGCGTTTCAACGAGTGACCAAACGTGATAACCCTGCGGGGCGAGGAGTGATCAAGCGTGATAGCGCTGTGATCATGCGTGATAGCGAAGTACTGTACTGTGACTGTCCGTGATAACCCCGTGACCAAACGTGATAATACGGCCATAATTGTGACTGCGCGTATAATTTCCCCATGAACTATTGTGTCATATGGATTCCTGCCTCAACATGGTGACCGCTTCTTTTGCTTACCCGTCACATGGAATCCTGGTGGATGCTGTTGCGCTTTCGAGAGCCCCAGGGTCCTCGGAGGTTTCGCCGCGTTTTCTGCAGCAATGAATCTCAACCCCTATCAACAGCCATCGATGTCAGTGCTCACGTGTAGAGTAGATTCTAAACTGCAGTTTTTGCCATAAGGTGGGTGACAAGTTGGATGGATATGCATTGCGCAAAGATACAAGGTTGGGGGGAATTGAATGGGCGCAAGGGTTAGCGGGGGCTTGGGGGACTGGTGGGGGGGGGAGGATGGAGGGGTTTGGGGGGAAGCGATGGCATTGGAAACAACGAGCGAATCACGATAAGGGCTCCAACTTTCCGGCGTTCGGAAGGCTGTGCCTCCCCACTATTTCGGAGTCGCCACGCCCGCACGGATGGAGCACTCGCCTCTCGGCACTCCGAATGGACAACCCCAGCAACTCGATTTGTTGCTTGCTCTGCCCAGACGAAAAGAGAACAATCAAGGTCAGAAGAGATTGTGACAGCCACCAGTGTCCTTTTTTTCGCCTTTCCCTTTCCTTTGACTTTGTCTGGGCAGCAATGCCACGCACGGATATCTACTTCCAGGTTGGAGGTTCGGGTACATAGGGGGACACATGCGCGGCATAGGTGGAGCTTTTGCGGAGAAGCTCCGCGACCTGATTTAGGGCGGAGCTCGCGAATGCTCCCGCAAACAGCCCACCAAGATCTCAAGGATGGCGGAGGAGTGCTGTTTGCGCGGAGCAGATTTTCCCCAAAACCCCAACCAGGTCAGCCTCGGAAGAAGCAACGAGCAGAATGTTCCGCCCAACCTAGAAAACATCTTCCAACAATGAGGAGGAAAGTATCAGCGAGGCAGAGGCAGGGCAAGTGACAGAAAGTGAGAGATGGAGAGAGCAAAGTGAGGAGAGAGAGAACGAGAGAAGCGAGCAGTGAGAGCAACCTATAACAGGGGAAGAGAGGAATCCAAACAGTGTTATGCTTCACAGCACCAGACCTCTTCGTTTTCAGCAGCTCTGGTGACCTCGCTTGAACTTCGTCAGTGGAGGAGCAGCCAAATTCCTGAAGTTGGTCGGTTTCTCCCAAGCAGTAGAGCTGAGTTGGGTCTTGGAGGAATAAAGGCAGTGGCAAGGCGTGAGGTCATCCAGCCAATACCGTTCACGAGACGCCTTTCTGCTGACGACTACTGTGCTGAATAACTGCTCGTCCTGTCCTAGTTCATTTTGCTCGGTTACAGTATCTTATTTGTTAGCGTCTGCTCGTATTCTGGAGAAGGGTTTTGGAGGATACTGCCTTACAACCGTCCTTTCTTGGGGTATTGTTGTTGTTGGTAGTCAGTCCCGGAGTATTTAGTCTTACGGGTTCGATGATTAAGATTCAGTGAAGGCCGCTGCACCATAGTCCAGTATCCCGCAAAAACGTTCCTGTCTCAGCAGCCTTTTTATTTTCGACTCTTAATCCGTCAGCTATGGCCGATGCTATGCTCGCAAGAAGCATTTCAGCTCCGCATCTGACTCCAGTTCCCGCGGGATCTACCAATGGAAGAGAAGCGGATAAACTCAGAGATGCAGCGAGCCCATCTTTCCAATGCTCCATGGTTTCCCCTCGCGGAGGCCTGGCCAGTCATCAAGCCTCTCGTTTATCCTGGAAGCGTAGCAATACCTCATCGCCTCTAACCCCGTTTTCTCCATGGTTTTCCGAATTCTCCGCAACGTCAGCGGCTCAGTCTTCACGAAGCTTGTTCGTCGTTTCTGAAATGGACTCGTCTCAGAAGGAGGACTGCGAGTTTCGCCGTATCGTGTCAGTTCCTGAGCTCCGCACCCCGGATAACCACTCGCAGCAAAGTGCAACCCCAACAGACTCTGCGGACCGTCAGAAGGGCAACAGGAAAGGAAGAAGTTGGCCTTTCTCTTCGCAAGAAGCGGGCAACCCTAATTCACATCCTTCTGACCATCCATCCATGCCGTTCCCACTATCCGACCCTTCGTTCTTCATGCATCCTTCCTCGCCACCCTCAACCCCTCTACTCAGATCTCCACGCAAATCCACACCCTCTTCATCACCTCCTTTCAAGACGCCGTCGCTGTTTCCCTTGGAGCCTTTAGCCGGCATGCCTTGCAGCAGAAGAAACCAGAACGACTACGCCAGTCTGGAATTTTTCACCAACGGCGCTGACGAGATGCAGATGCGAGGACTGTTCGCAGGATCTCACCCAGAGATCTACCAGCATCTACCGGACGAGCAAGGATCTCGACCGTTGCTTGATCTCGGCCACTCCGATGTTGCTCGGAGCGAGCAGGTTGATTCGTCTGCTTCATTCAGCGTAGCCGGTGAAACCTTTCCGGTTGTTTGCCAAGGGACGCCGAATCTTGGGAGGGAATTGAAGAACGGAGCTAGTCCTGCGTCAGGCACGTCCTCTGGAGACATCGCGGCCATGGAAGCTCATTATGTCACCGCTCTGGCCAAGGATCCGAAAGATCCCCTTCTCCTTCGTAACTTCGCGCGATTTCTTTACGAGGTGAATATCTTGTTTCGTTACGTTTTTCGATTGTTCGTCGATTATATCAGGGTATTTTTTCTGTGTATGTGATCTGTCTGGTGTTTTTGACACTGAAATCCTCTCGGATCTTCTCTTTTCAGGTCAAGGGAGAACACGATGAAGCAGAGAAACTCTTCGAGCGCGCTATTACCGAAGCTCCTTATGACGGGGAACTTCTGGTTCAGTACGCGAAGCTGCTATGGGAAGGCATGGGCGATGCGAATAAGGCCTCCATTTTCTTCGAGCGAGCAGTCAGCGCTGCACCTCAGGACTGGTAAGCACCCACCGAATCGTTCGTTTGCAACATTGTACGCTGGTTGATGGTTCTGGGAGTCGTTATTTGCATTATCTTGGGAGTTCTACATCGTTAATGCCATTTTCTTTCCCTCACTCTCCCTCCGTTGCGGATACCCCACCTCGTTCTGTCCTTGCAGTTATGTCCTGGCTGCGTATGCATCCTTTCTCTGGAATTTCGATTCCCTGCCTGAGGAGAACACCAGCGTCATGGCTCCTGCTCCTCCGTTCCTTCCCGCCACGTCTGCTGGTTGCGGATAATCGCTCCAAAGTTCGGCCAGTATATTGGATCCACCAATCGAGGCAGCTACCGGTAATATCGCAACTTCTTCCATGGCATACTGCATTGAAGCCTGCCAGCCGCCAGCTCCTGATCTTTTCATGGCATGAAATGCAACATTGCTGGAAGGACAATGTGTGACGTCAACCTGAAGAGCATCAGCCAGTTGCTGCATGGTTGACTTCAGGCTCAGGTTTTGGTGGGCATGCTGCCAACCAAGTCTCGGCTCTTTATTATACACGGGCCCCCTCCACTTAGGGATTGTAGTACGGTAACAGGTGTGTATCTTGGCTGAATTGGTATTTCTTTTGCCCCTGTTGCGCTTGCTTTGATGTGTAGCTTGTGTGGGTGTGGGGCCCCTAGGGTATCTTGTTGGGCAATATTGTTGGATAAAGAAACACATTTTTATGGTGACATTTTGAACAAATGCGAACAAAATTATGGTGACATTCTTTACAATACCGTACCTAGATTGTAGGAACAAATGCGGGAATTGAAGAGCTTTATTTTGGTTTGGTGTCATTAGTCTTTAATTCGTTTGCCAGCTAGTACCCACTATACAGTCTGATTCGTTGTGTTAACTCCTACACAAGTGCGAAGCTGTTAGCACTAGAGCCTGAAGTGTATGTAAACATTAGACAAGAAAGAACTAGGTTCTGTTATGACTAAAATAACAAAATGATATACGGTAACCTCCAGTTTAGTGTCTGAAGTTGGTTAGTGCTGTACGTATCCTGAACCTGGGGTAGGGACAACACCAGTAACTGCAGCAGCACGACTACATGCCAGCCTCCCTCCCACTGACGACAGTCAAGTCAACCACCTGCTCAATTGAGAGCAATAGAACGCCCAGACACTCGACCAAGCCACATAGTACAAGCGACGCACCACCACCACCCTTCAGTGAAGCACACACACTGCAGATCAAAGCCCATGATGCTTGTGCAATCTCCCGATCAATATCGCTCTCACGATGCTGTAGTGATTCCCTCCATAGCAGACACGCCAGCATTCACAGCAACAGCAGCCACACCCCCAGCAGCAACACCAGTAGCAGCTGCCACCACTGCACTGCTCTGGCCAGAAACATCCATAGCACCGGCGTTCAGCCCTCCTGTTGCTGCCCCAACCTTCTTGTCGGTCTCACTCTCTCCTCCTCCCCCTCCCGCACTACCACCGCAGCCTGCTGCCGTCACCCCTATTCCTCCTGCTGCTACCCCACCACCTGCAGCACGCTCTACCCCACACTCCTCCACCTCTTCCATTTTCACACACGGGGATCCCACCCCCCCAACTCCTCCTGGTGCTGCCGCCGCCGCTGCTCTTGCTGCAAAAGTAGGGGAGGCAGAGGCACTTGCTCCTGCTGACACTGCTGTTGCTGCTGCTGCCCCTCCTCCTTCTCCTGCCACAACCACTCCTGCTGGTGCTGGCACAGGAGACCCAGTTTGACCCCCACCAACTCCCCTAGAAGGTGAATCACCAGCTCCAGGCAATGCAGCCACTCCCATGCCTCCTGTTCCTGCACCAGTAGACCCACCAGCAGCACCAGGAATCATGGCAGGAGCAGCCTGATTGGTAAGAGTAGCAGCGGCAACTGGGGTGGGAGACCCAGCAGCAGCAGCAGCCCCAGCAGCTGCAGCAGCAGTGGCGGCAGCAGCAGGAGGAGAAACAGGTGCTGCCACAGCTGCAGGAGCGAGAGCAGGAGAAGAACCAGGAGGTGCTACTGCTGCTGCTGCAACTCCTGCTGCTGCTACTCCTCCTCCTCCTGCTGCAGCTGTGCCAGTCATCTGTATAGAGCCAACCTTCACATCCATGTTTCCTCCCCCCTCTCCTCCTCCTCCTCCCCCATCTCCTCCTCCTCCTCCCCCCTCTCCTCCTCCTCCTCCCCACTCTCCCCCTCTTCCCCCTCCTCCTCCTCCTCCTCCTCCTCCTCCTCCTGCTCCTCCTGCTCCTCCTCCTCCCCCTCCCTCCCCTGCACCACCCCCCTCACCACCTCTCTCCTCCCCCTCTCCTTCCCCTTTCCCCTTAGACATCATATTGGCTAGCCCGAGAGGCATGAGGCACAGCCCTTTGCTCTGCAGGTACTGCATCGCTGCCCCCATGTCCTGCTCCATTAGCAATGCCACCTGCAATACAACAAGTGACACGCAGGGAGCGCAACGACCCGTGAGAAGGACGGCATGAGGCAGAGAGTCCAGTGATCTGCAGGTACTGATCACTGCAGATGCAGTACTGCATGGCGGCTCCCTCCCATGTCCTGTGCCATCAGCAATGCCACCTGCAATACTATACGAGAGAAGTGTGCGGGTATGAGAGGGGAAGGGTGGCCAGAGCTACGAAGCGTATTTTGAGGCGCCTCAAAAGAAGTGCGCAGGTGTGAGAGGGGAAGGGTGACCAGAGCTACGAAGCATGGCCCTTGGCCGGCTCGTTTACGCCCCAAAGAGAACACGACAAGGCACAGTATGAGGCACACCTGTTGTTCAGGGCCAACCAGCACGTCGTTTAGGGCAGCTTACCTGTCGTCTAGACTAACCCACTAAACAAAAAAATAAGTTAACCCACCTGTCGCTCCATGAGAGTGAGCTCCTGCTGTGAAAAGGACGAGAGGCCATCGTCGATTTCCTGCAAATAAGAGCACGGGAGCAGCAGGAGCAAAGGGGAATAAGGAGCAGGAGGTCATTCTAATAAGGAGAATTAGGTTAACTTAGTAATGGAGCAAACAAGGGAGCAGCAAGGGGGGAGAAAGAGCATGGGCAAGCAAGGGAGCGAGGAGCAAAAAAGAACTCAGGGAAGGGGCAGGGGAGTGTGACACTAAGACTAGTGATTTATGCACCTCCCTGTACCTCCCCGCACCTTCCCACACCTCCCCACACCACTGCATACCTCGGGGTTCAGTCTGCAAGCAGAGTGACCACGGCGTCTGCTGCAGGACCAGCCAGGCGGTTCTGATTGAGCACCTGTAGAGCCCCCCCACACCTTCCTACACCTCCCCACACCTCTGCATACCTCGGGGTTCAAATCAGCAAGCAGAGTAACCACGGCGTCTGCTGCAGGGCCAGTCAGGCGGTTCAAATTGAGCACCTGAAAAGGGTGGGAGGAGGAGTGGAGACGAGCGAGAGGAGACGAGAGGAGAGCGAGGGGACGGGGAGAGGAGAGCGAGAGGAGACGAGAGGAGAGCGAGGGGACGGGGAGAGGAGGGCGAAAGGAGGGCGAGAGTATGGGGAGGGGAGGGCGAGAGTATGGGGAGGGGAGGGCGAGATGAGAAAAAAAAAGGCACATTCTGAGGAGCCCGGAGAGAGTGATTAGGGCATTGATTGCTAGGACGGTCACACGGGTCGATCGAGCACCTGAAAGCAGCGACAGCACAATGTCAGTCACCGAGAGAGTGACGGCACTACTAGGACATAGTACTCCTGATCGAGCCGACTTTTGAGCCGTCTGGGCTCTATTGAGGTGATTTTCGAGGCGCCTAAAAAATTACCTCAATGCGTGAGAGTGATGGCACTAGGACATAGTGTGCTCCAGATCGAGCCGTCAGCCCGTCTGGGCTCTATGTGGCTCAGATGAATGACACAGAGCACACAGAACACATCCAGCATCAATGCGTTGTCCACCCGATTGGAGAGAGAGGAGAAAGGCAGAATGGTGGGGAGAGAAAGAGTGGGAGGAGGAGAAAAAGAGAATCGCCCACCTTGTGAGATGGAAAGAGGCGCACCCACCTTGACCTGCAGGCTGCAGCTGCAGGAACTTGACATAGTCGATTATGCCGTCCAGCATTAACGCCTCGTCCACCCGATTGGAGGGAGAGGAGAGAAGGAGGAGCATAAAGAGGAGCATGTGAGAAAGAGCGCGAGAAGAGCCCACCGGGGAGGAGAGAGATGGAGGAGGGAGATAGAGGAGCACACCTTGACCTGCAGCTGCAGGGACTTGACATAGTCGATTATGTCATCCAGCATTGACGCCTTGTCCACCCGATTTGAAAGCGGGCAATGACAGTGAGTGATGAGAGTGAGGAAGAGAGCAAGGCGGAAGGAAGGAAGGAAGGAGAAGAGGTGCAACGACTGAGTCAATCAACACCCACCTTGACCCGCAGCTGCAGGGACTTGACATAGTCGATTATGCCATCCAGCATGAGTGGGGGATGAAGGAGTGTGAAGGACAGCGAGAGGAGGGATATTGGAAGGCGTGAGAATTCACACACACCTTGACCTGCAGCTGCAGGGACTTGACATAGTCGATTATGCCGTCCACCATTGACGCCTTGTCCACCCGATTCAAGGAGTGAGATAGAGGAGTGAGGGGGAGAGAAAGACACACATTGACCCGCAGCTGCAGGAACTTGACATAGTCGATTATGTCATCCAGCATTGATCTACACCTTGCCCACGCGATTGGAGAGACAGGAGTGGAAGAGGGAGCATGACCAGGGAGACACGGAGCGCGAGTGACATGGAGGAGGGAAATGGAGGAGGAGGGAGAGTGAAGAGTCAAAGACCCACCTTGACCTGCAGCTGTAGAAACTTGACGTAGTCAATTATGTCATCCAGCATAGACGCCTTGTCCACCCGATTCGAGTTGGGCACCAGGTCCTGCAGCGCCCTCATGCGCTCTGCTATGCGCTCTCGGCGCAGCTGCACAGTGGGGGAGGGGGGAGGAGACGTTTCGAGCGAAGGAAGAGCGGATAGGGGGAGACATTCGAGTTGGGCACCAGGTCCTGCAGCGCGCGCATCCTCTCTTCTACGCGCTCTCGGCGCAACTGGATGGTGGAAGGAGGGGGGAAGGGAGGGGGGAGGGAGGGGGCAGGGAGGGGGGAGGAAGGAAGGGGGGAGAGAGGGGACGTTTCGGGCGAAGAGAGCGGATAAGGGGGCGACATTTGAGTGGGAGACACCAGGTCCTGCAGGACGCGCATGTGCTGTGCCATGCGCTCGCGTTGCAGCTGCACAATTGAAAGGGCGAGGGGGGAGGGGGGAGGGGGGAGGGGGGAGGGGGGAGGGGGTGTGGAAGAAGCAGTGCGGATAAGGGGGGACAGTGGAGTAGGGCACCAGGCCCTGCAAGACCCCCATGCGCTGCACTATGTGCTCGGCACAGCTGCACAGTGGAAGGCAGACCGGTGGGGGGAAACAGAGGGTGAAGAGGGGTGCAGAACGAGGTGCACGAACAGAGCAGACGTTATAAATCCCCATTCTCGCCCCAGTTTCCCTCCCTCTTCTCTCCCTCACTCCCTCCCTCCGACCCTCCCTCACTCACTCTCTCAGCAATACTGTGAGGATCCGTCGCCTGTCCTCGTCTCGCCCTCGCCCGCGGTTTCCCCCCTCCACCCCCTCCCCCTCCCCCTCCGCCTGCACTCCCGCCCGCTCCCCCGCTCCCCTGCGCGCCTCCCCCCACTCCCCCCGCGCCAGCGCTCGACTGGGACGGCATGAGAGAGGGAGGGGCGGCGCCGGCGGCCGGATTTGTCTGTATCTGAGTGTGCGGCTGGGGGAGAGAGCTGGGCGGCTGTGACATCCCCTGGTGGAAAGAGGAGGAGGATTGCAGAGCGGGCTGCTGCTGCTGCTGATGCTGCGGCTGCTGGTGCTGCTGGGGATGCGGGGACGGCGCATGGTGGGGCATGGAGGGGGGCTGCTGGGACTGCAGGGGAGCACCACGCTGAGGTGGCACGGAGTTGGGGTGCTGCTGGGCTTGCATGGGCGGCGGATTTGATACGAGCCCGTTAAAGGATGGGGCTGGCGGGGTGTCCTGCGCCTGGAATCAGGAATGCGGGGGGGAGGGAGGGGGAAGCAGCGGAGGGGAGGAACGGGAAGAGAAGGAAGGAGAGCAAGATGGGGCAAGTAAGTAGGCGGATTTGATACGAGGCCGTTGAATGCTGGGGCAGGCGGGGTGTCCTGTGCCTGGCAATTCGAATAGTTGGGAAACGAAGGGAGGAACAAAAGGGGACGGGAAGAGATGAGGGGGGGCGGGGAGAGGGGGAAGGAAGGGTGGAAACGGGAGAGGAAAGGGGGACAAGAGAAGGAGGAGAGAGAGGTGAGTAAATGGAGAGGTGGATTATAAAACCATTCTGTTGAGCGCTGGAGAGGGAGAGGCGGAGACGCGAGAAGGGGAGGGGGAAGCGGTGATTCGCTGAATGAAAGAACTCACATGTGGCTGCTGGCGGAACTGAGGCACCTTTAGACCCATTCCGGGCCCCACTCCCCTTCCCTCCCCAACCCCGTTTTGAGGCGCCTCAAAACTGGTCAAAAGGTGGAATGAAAGAACTCACATGTGGCTGCTGGCGGAACTGAGGCACCTTTAGACCCATTCCGGGCCCCACTCCCCTTCCCTCCCCAACCCCGTTTTGAGGCGCCTCAAAACTGGTCAAAAGGTGGAATGAAATAACTCACATGTGGCTGCTGGCGGAACTGAGGCACCTTTAGACCCATTCCGGGCCCCACTCCCCTTCCCTCCCCAACCCCGTTTTGAGGCGCCTCAAAACTGGTCAAAAGGTGGAATGAAATAACTCACATGTGGCTGCTGGCGGAACTGAGGCACCTTTAGACCCATTCCGGGCCCCACTCCCCCTCCCCCGCCCGCCGGCCCCAGTCCCCCTTGCGGACCCAACATCTGCCCCCCCTGTCCGGGGGGGCCTCCCCCCGGGCCCCCAGGCGCAGGCCCCCCCGGACCCGGGGGAGCCACTCCTTGCGCGCCTGGCGCGCCCGCGGGAGCGCCAGGTCCGCCAGGCCCTCCTGGGCCTCCGCCGGGGGGGGCTCCGCCGGGGGGAGCTCCGCCTGCTGCGCCAGTGAGTCCAAATCCCGCCGCCACGCTCGTTAGAAGCGAGCCTTGCGCTGCGCGCTGCTGCAGGAGGCGCAGCAACGTGGCGTCGTCTAATTGGCCCGCCAGCAGCGCCACCTGCGCCTGCACGTCCGCGGGCTGCTGCTGCTGCGCGGATCCAGGCGCGCCGGGGGCTCCCCCTGCGCCAGGAGCTGCGCCGGGGGGAACGGGGGAGACTCCCATCAGGGGGGTGGGGCCGAGGAGGCCCGCCGTTGCGAGAATGCGCTGGCCGGGCGTTGCGCCCTGCGTGTGGGGGAGGGGCGAGGGTGAGGGGGGGGGGGAGGGGGGGGGGGGGGAAGAAGGAGGGGAGAGAGGGGGGAGGAACGGGAAAGATAAAGCCAAGTAAAGGGAAAGCGAGGTGAGCGGAGGGGTCTGGCGGGATCGAGATCAGGGGGGTGGGTCCGAGCAGGCCCGCCGTTGCTAAAATGGGCTGGCCGGGCGTTGCGCCCTGAGTGTGGGCAGGGAACGGGAATGGGGTAGAGGGGGGAGAGAGGGGAGAGAAAGGAAAGTGACGGGAAATTTGTGTGGTGAGGGGAGGGGAATGGCAAAATCTACATTAGGGAATCCGAATCTTGTATGAATCCACATCAGAACAAACCGATTTATGCTCACCCGTTTATGGCACATACTGAGGCAATCCCTGGCGGCTAAAGTGCAAAGCTGTTTTCCGCAATCGATACAAATGTGGAAGTGGATTGAGTTCCACGGATTGTTAAGTGTTTGAACAACAACGAAAGAACGAACGAAAGAACGAACGAAAGAACAAACAAAGAAGACTTGTCTGGTAAGAACCAAAGTTGACTTTTGAGTCGACTCAAAAGTCAACACGAAAGAACAAACAAAGAAGACTTGCCTGGTAAGAACCAAAGTTTTCCGACATTCCTTGACCAGAGGAAGCATTCCCGCTGTTCCAGTTCTGCTGTTGCGGTTGCTGCTGCTGCTGGAACTGCTGTTGTTGCTGCTGCTGTTGCTGTTGCATGTACTGCTGCTGCTGCTGCGGCTGCTGTTGCTGGGATTGCTGCTGATACGCCATCTGTTGTTGCTGCGGCTGCTGCTGCTGCTGCTGGTGGTATTGCTGGGACTGTTGCTGCTGCTGAGGAGGCTGGTATTGCTGCTGACCTGAGTGTTGGTTGTAACCGTCCATTGTTACTTGCCGACTTAGCCACTTTCGTTTGACTTGGAGGTATATAATAAGAATACGCAGTCAGAAAATAGTTCAGGACAATAGTACCCTTGTAAGCGCTTTCCGTTCCCAAATCGGGAACGTTATGACCCTAAACGCGACAACTAAGACCAATCGTGTGAGCGTGAGCGAACGCTTCTGGTTACGGACACGAGAAATCTCTTACTATTAGTTGAATTGACAGAGTTCTTAAAAGTAGCGATCAAAATAGAGCTCTTGCGACTCGCTGTTTCAACAAATTCCTGAATAAAATCGGCAATAGAGAGTTTTGAGAGACTTCACGAGGTGTAGAGCCATCCCGCAGAAGGGACTCTAAGTACTTAAAAAGCACTTCTTATCCAATGAAGTAATTCCTACAACTGAACGCTGGCAGCTGGTTAGGGTTGATGCGGTGGCGATAAGGGAGCGGCCAGAGGGAGGAGGTGGATGATGGATAGGTGAGGTCAGTAGATGTTGGCGGGAGAGCTGGAGAGCTGAGGAATCTGAGAGGCACTATGACAATGAGATGTAATTTGGAGGTACTGGAATTGGAGAAGAGAGGTGGGGAAAACGGACCAGACGGACTTGGGAGAATCCCGATGTGGTTCATTTAAGTTTTGTCACGGTTGAATACGTAACGGTGGACCATCGCTTTGTAGCGCATCACATCAAACACAACCGTGCTGCATCGATTTGGGAAAAGAACACACCGTAGCAGCCAAAACAGAAATGTCAGGAGAAACTCTGATGGGTTACTGTAGTCATGTTATGCGTCGCGGGGTTCTGGTTCTGGGTCTAACGGTTGGCTCGGTGGTGCTGACGCTGAAATCAGCTCGTCACAGACGGTCACGACTTTACAACCTGCCCAAGAACAACATGGCCCTACCACCAGGTTTGATTGACGGAACGTGTAGCTAATTCACACGGCTGTGATTGGTTGGAAGATGGAAATGACACTGAAAGGATGACCGACATGCGTTGTTGTGGTTGAGGTTAGCCAGTCTGGAAACGGCGACCGTCAGCTAGCGAATGAGGTGTCCTTGTCGTTTTTCATAGCCGGGTTCGCTACCCCCACCCCATGCGAATTTCGGAAAGCAGTCCGCTTGTCCACCAGGCGGGGAAAGGACTGTCTGCCATTTTCATTTCAAGGGAGAAGAAAAGGAGGCAGTTTCCGTTTCGTTTCTTCCCGCCATTTCCCAGCGCCTCGACCACCACAGACACGTGTCAGACGCGAGCACAAAACCCAACAGAGCTTGAAAGCTACACCATATATACCCTACATACATCAAGTTATCCTGCTTTTAAAATTAGTAACCCCACAAGTTAAACAGATGCGTCTATCGATTATGTATGCTACTTAAACATAAAAAATTTGAACCATATGTGAATGTTTGTCCTGACTTTTCACACTACTAAAATATGGAAAGCATAAGTATCAAAAGATAAAGATATTTTGTTGATTTTTATACAGTGAATACCGTCCATGCAGCCTAGGTAGTTGAGCATGTTTCGTACTGAACGGAGTTTCCTGGGCCTCAATAACAGTTTCTACTACCTGACCTGACCTGACCAATTTCGCAACCTACTTTTCGCCTGAGTACCTATTGTTTCTCTCTCGAACCGCGGAGATTTGACATAATTGCTTGTTCCATGATTTCTTGTTTGCCTCTTGCCACGACTGTGTGTTTCGCCATAATGTTAGCCGACTTAATTTAGTCAATGCGATCGCGTAATCGCGATCTCAACGATCCGCCGTGTCGGCACTCGCCATGGCGGGCCCTCGCTCCTCCCAGCGATCCACCGTCTCCTCCCGCTCCACCACCCCCCACGCCGCATCTTCCGGCACAATCTCCGGCGCCAATTTCGGCGGATCCTCCGCTCCCGCGTCCCCTTCCTTCCTCTCCCGCGCGTTTCCCGCGTTGGCAGCTTCGGTTCTCGCGCTAACGGCTGTCGTCTTTGCGTTCACCTACTCGAGGCCGTCGCTTGGGCGATGCGACTTACTCCAGCTGCAGCTGCTGGGACGAAAGGTAAGGTCTCGTTCAAGATGAATAAAGGTCGAACTTACTAGATGACTTTTGCGAAAGGTCTCAGCTGTTGCATGTTCCAAGCCAGGTGACGACTGAGTTTGACGACTGAATCGACATGTGACTTAGCGTTTGAGTCGACATTTGAATCAACCTAAAAAATGAGCTTTGGTACTCCTTCCTGCTGTATGATCTCAGCCAGGCAGAGAAAAGCACTGAAATTTGTCCCTCTACTTTGTGCATGTTTTATTTTTTCTTTGCTGTATTTGCTCTCTATTCTACGTTGCAGCAGGGAGACGACCTGGGGAAGCACCTGAAAGTGCTGGAGAAGCAGGTAGGCTGAACAAGTGCGTGGACTGGATGAGTGGCTGGGGTGGGGTGGGGTGGGGTGGGTTGGGGTGGGATGGGCTGGGCTGGGGTAGGTGGGGTGAGTGGGTGGGTGAGAGGTATGGACCTGCGTGACGTGGGTGGGTGAGGTAATGCGCTGCTCGTGTGTCCTGCTCCTGCCGCTGCCTCCCTCCTTTTCCCTTTGCTCCTCATTCTGCCCCTCGTTCTGCCCCTCCTTATGCCCGCCTTTTTACCCCTCGCCCCGCGTTTTGCTTCTGCCCCCCCCTCTGCCTCTGCCACTGAATCTTCTTCCTCCTCCTTCCCCTCCTCCCCTCCCGCTGCCTCTGTCTCTCCTCTCCCCCCTCTTTCCCTATCCCACTCTCATCCCTCTCCCTCTCCCCTTCCCTCCCCCACTCGCTTCCCTCTCCCCCTCCTCTCCCCCTCCCCATCCCTCCAGATGAATTACAACAAGAAACTCGTGGGCGTGCTGCAGGCAGTCATCTCTCGCCTTTTGAGGCGCCTCAAAACTCTCAACGCCCCTCCCTCTCCCCATCCCTTCAGATGAATTACAACAAGAAACTCGTGGGCGCACTACAGGCATCTCTCGCCAAGTTGACTGTGAGTGTGTGGAGTGGGAGTGGAGTGAGTGTGGAGTGAGTGTGGAGTGAGTGTGGAGTGTGTGTGCGTGGTCTGTGTGTGTGCAGTGTGGGAGGAGCAAGTGAATCAGTGAGCTGCTGTGAGAGCAGCTACAGGAACCTGGTGTGAATCAAGGTGACTTTTGAGTCGACTCAAAAGTCACCTCGTTTTGAGTCGACTCAAAAGTCGCCTCGTTTTGAGTCGACTCAAAAGTCGCCTCGTTTTGAGTCGACTCAAAAGTCGCCTCGTTTTGAGTCGACTCAAAAGTCGCCTCGTTTTGAGTCTACTCAAAAGTCGCCTCGTTTTGAGTCGACTCAAAAGTCGCCTCGTTTTGAGTCGACTCAAAAGTCGCCTCGTTTTGAGTCGACTCAAAAGTCGCCTCGTTTTGAGTCGACTCAAAAGTCGCCTCGTTTTGAGTCGTCTCAAAAGTCGCCTCGTTTTGAGTCGACTCAAAAGTCGCCTCGTTTTGAGTCGACTCAAAAGTCGCCTCGTTTTGAGTCGACTCAAAAGTCGCCTCGTTTTGAGTCGACTCAAAAGTCGCCTCGTTTTGAGTCGACTCAAAAGTCGCCTCGTTTTGAGTCGTCTCAAAAGTCGCCTCGTTTTGAGTCGTCTCAAAAGTCGCCTCGTTTTGAGTCGACTCAAAAGTCGCCTCGTTTTGAGTCGACTCAAAAGTCGCCTCGTTTTGAGTCGACTCAAAAGTCTGCTGTGAGAGCAGCTACAGGAACCTGGTGTGAATCACAGCAGGATACTCACTGGTGCCTCTCATCATCTCATCTCATTCGTGTTTGTCATGTCAAGTCAACCATTTGCTTCCCTCTTCACCAGTCCCATTATGCTATTTGTGTCCTTACCCCATTACCCCCCCTCCCCCCACCCCATTCCCGCCTCCCTCCTTTACTCTCCATTGCATCTATTCTATCTCCTATCCTTTTCCCCCATTCCATCCCTCTCCCTTCCCGTGCTCCTCCTCCCCTCCACTTTTCCCTTTCCTCTCCTTCTCCCTCTTTTCCTCCCCTTATTCTTGGTTCGATTTCCCTCGTTCTTCTTGGATTCTCTCTCCCGTGTGTAGGCTGCTGACTCAGCAGCAGCGGCCGAGGCGGACGCGTCAGCGCCTGCTGACGTGGCAATCCCTGGGAACGCCAGCACACGCCAGCTGGTCGAGCTGGCAGCGCGACAGGTGGCGGATGAAGTCCGGGCATCAATGGAGGAAACGGTGAGTTTCTTTTCTCAACAGATAGAGATCAGTACGTGAGGTTTACTGTTGGATTGGAATGTTTACTGTTCACGCTTCATAGTGCCAGTGCCAGTGCCACCGCGAGTTTGCGCTTGACTGTGCCCGGAGCCCAAAATTGATATCTTTACGACTGTGTGTGTGGCGGATGAACTCCGGGCATCAATGGAGGAGACTGTGAGGTGCTTATTTCACGGATTTAGATTTGAGGTTTACTGTTCCGGCTTCGAAGTGCCACCTTAAGCTTGTTCTGCCTGCCCTGCCTGCCTGCCTGCCTGCCTGTCTGTTTGTCTTTCTGCCTGCCTGCCCCACATGCCGGGCTCCACCCCCCTCAACCCCACAGGACCTCGCACGTTTGAGGGATGTCATAGGAGCTACAGTGCGCAGAACAGGCAAATGGACCGCCGCCCTTGCCGCCCGCTCCTGCCCCCAATGCCCCGACTGCTCCCTCACTCCGCCGTCCACAATCGGCCCCGTCTGCACTGCGCCGGGATTCGTCAACTGCAGCTGCCCGAGCGGGCACTCGGGCAGGCGAAAGTTTCCGAAGCGGACCGAGAAGCCGCTGTGCACGGACGGCACGTCGCCGGGCAGGTGGAAAAGCTACAGCCAATGGGAGGCCGACAACTGTCAGTACAGAGAGATTTCAACAGACAGACTTAGGGAATGCCTCAAAGGGAAATGGATACACTTTTTCGGGGATTCTCTCTCACGGTTACTGGCGAATGAATTTGCGCGGCAGTGTGGGATGCAGCGCAGGTCGTGGGATGGGGACAAGGCAAGGAGCACGTTACTAGATACCAGGGCAGATCAGCAGGTGGCAGAGGGGGGAAAGGGGGGCGGTGGGGGGCGAAGGAGGAGACTGGCAGGTGGTGTTAGTACATTTAGGGGAAGAGGAGGAGGAGGAGGAATGGATCAGTCATGGTTTCGGGTCGAGGGAGGGGAGGTGGAGGGAGGGGAAATGGAGGAGTGGGAGGTTTCACAGGAGGAGCTGGAAAGTGGAGGAGAGGAGGAGAGTGTGAGAGAGAAGGTGGAGGAGGTCGAAAGGAGGGCGGGCGGCAGGCGGCGGCTGCTTATGTCGCGAGACGAGTGGCCGCGTGTGACTTATCTGTTCCGAGGGAAGATGGCACACCAGAGGCATCCTGAGGTGGGTGCAGGGTGGAGCAGTGCGTTTGATGCATGTATACTTCTCCACCCCTCTGCACCCCTCTTCACCCTTCTCCACCCCTGTCCACCCCTCTTCACCCCTCTTCACCCCACTTCACCCCTCTCCACCCCACTTCACCCCTCTCTACCCCTCTCCACCCTTCTCCACCCCTACAGGAGAACGCCACAGAAGAGCGCGATCTGAACAACAAGTTCCTGGAGTCGTTCAAGCAACCAGGGGGGCAGCAGCCTGACTTGCAACCCCTCTTCACCTATTCACCCCTCTTCACTCCTCTTCACCTCTCTTCACTCCTTCTACAGGAGAACGCCACAGAAGAGCGCGATCTGAACAACAAGTTCCTGGAGTCGTTCAAGCAGCCAGGGGGGCAGCAGCCGGACTTCCTCATTATGAGCATTGGGGCGCATGAGGTGAGGCATGGCACAAGGTGAGGCATGGCACGAGGTGAGGCATGGCATGGGGGCACTTGGGTGGGATGAAGGGTGGCATGGCAGCAGCCAGGGGGACAGCTTATCTGCTACAGCTGCTACAGATGTTACAGCTGGTCGTCACCTTCGTGCCTCCTCCCCTGCACTCTCCCCCCTCTCCTCCTCTCGAACCACAGGTGATAGGGTGGAATCGCCGCCTGCCACCCGACCTGGATGTAGCAACGTTCAAGAGGGACACAGAGGAGCTGCTACAGCTGCAACAGCTGCTACAGCTTGTTGTGACCCCTTATGTGCTGCCACTCACCTGTTCCTCCCTGACCACAGGTGATAGGGTGGAATCGTCGCCCCCCTCCCGACCTGGATGTGGCAACGTTCAACAAGGACACAGAGGAGCTGCTACAGCTGCTACAGCTGCTATGATTTATCGTTACCACCTTCCCGCTCCGGTCCCCCACCCTCACCACAGGTGATAGGGTGTGGAATCGCCGCCCCCCTCCCGACCTGGATGTAGCAACGTTCAAGAGGGACACAGAGGAGCTGCTACAGCTGCAACAGCTGCTACAGCTTGTTGTGACCCCTTATGTGCTGCCACTCACCTGTTCCTCCCTGACCACAGGTGATAGGGTGGAATCGTCGCCCCCCTCCCGACCTGGATGTGGCAACGTTCAACAAGGACACAGAGGAGCTGCTACAGCTGCTACAGCTGCTATGATTTATCGTTACCACCTTCCCGCTCCGGTCCCCCACCCTCACCACAGGTGATAGGGTGGAATCGCCGCCCCCCTCCCGACCTGGATGTAGCAACGTTTAAGAAGGACACAGAGGAGCTGCTGCAGCTGCTGCGAGGGAGCTATAACCGGGATAAAGGCATGCTGCTGTGGTGGAAGGCGCACTATATCTGGCCCGGTGAGAGATTGTTTTTGAGACGTCTCAAAACTTGTTACGGCTGCTGCGAGGGAGCTATAACCGGGATAAGGGCATGCTCCTGTGGTGGAAGGCGCACTATATCTGGCCCGGTGAGTGAATGTTAATGTGTGCTGGCAGGCACTCTTGTTGCAAGTGTTGTCCATATATATATATATATATATATTCTGTTTTTTCTGTGTGTGTGTGTGTGTTTTTTTTTTTTGCTGCATTACGTTGTTGCTGTTACTGAATGTTCGCCCTTGTCATTACAGTCCCTTACTGACCTGTCTCCTCCTCTACCCAACCCTACTTCCTCTTCTACGCACGTCCCACTATAACCAGGCAAGGTTACTGGACAAGACTATTTCACAGTGCGGCAATACCATGAAATATATCAAGATTATTCCTACAAACGATTTCAGGAGGAAGGCTACACTACGGCAGATTTCTACCAAACCACAGAAGATCGGCCGGAGCTTATATGGAAGCCGGACGGGGTACACTACGGCTCTGAAGCTTTGGCTGTACACTCCAAGATTCTTGCTAATATATTGTGCAATAGAAAATAGATATTGCAGTATCTTTACTTAGTTTTTGTGCCATGAATGTCTGTAAAGCTAAATGCAGTTTACAACACTAGGTTTTGCACTGATACCGTAGTACACTAAGCCAGGACCCACATACTGGTAGAATACAGGTGAAATCTGAACGAAAGCATGCAATGCATCACAGCAAAACATCCAGGCGTTTTTTTAGACATCTCAAAACTGTGACGCAACCTTGCGAGCAATCTATACACTGAACTAAACAAACACAATAGGAAGCCGCCACAATACACAGTTTGACTCGGCCTCATTCTTCTCAATGGTTGAAGTTGTGTAGGCAAGGCACAACCAGGTCCCAGCCACTGACAGAAGTTCTGAGTCAACTCAACACTCATCTTCTCTGGTGCTGAAAGTTATGCAAGCGCCGGCCGACCAAGTATCTATCGTCCCGAATCGCATCATGCAGCGACGCAAGCCACTCACACACGTGCCGCCACACCCTCGCCGTCCCCACCACCCCCAACGCAGTAATCCACGCGAATCGGAACGCCGCTGATTCGAGCACAGGGGGGAGGCGGAGCAAGGGTAGTGCTGCGCGGACAGCTAGGAAGGGAGCGGTGAGGGCTGTGAGGAGGAAGAGAAGGACTGGAGCGATAATTTCCTGGAAGGTGCGGCGCGCGTTGAGGCGGCGGAGGCCGTCTTGTTGCAGACGGAGGAAACGGGCGCGCCACTCGTGGTTGGCTAGCAAGTGGTTCTGTGCGGTGACCTGCGGTGCGAGTGAGGGGAGGGGTAGAGAGAGCAGTGGTTGACAGACACACAGACACACACTTGAATGGGAGTATGAATGAATGCATGGATGGGGGCCATAGTGAATGCATGGATGGGGGGATGGATAGGCACACTCACCACTCTGGCCCAGAGCTTGAGCAGAATGAGCCCGAGTGCCCAGTCGTGGTAGAGCGAGAGCAGAAGAGCAGCAGACGACACGCGCTCAGATAAGAGAATGGACATTTGTGCATGAGTGGATGGGAGTATGGCACACTCACCACTCTGGCCCACAGCTTGAGCAGGATGAGCCCGAGTGCCCAGTCGTGGTAGAGCGAGAGCAGCGGGGATTCGTTGATGGGCACTCGGATGGGCATGATGACTGCTAGGTCGACCAGCAGACCCGCTAGAATGGGTGCTACTACCAGCTGCATGGTGGGGGGGGAGGGGTGTGGAAGGGGGGGCAGGGGAGGAGCGCAGGGCAGATGAGATTCGTTGATGGGCACTCGGATGGGCATGATGACTGCTAGATCGACCAGCAGACCTGCTAGAATGGGTGCTACTACCAGCTGCGGAATAACGGGTGTTTGCAAAGGGTGGATAGGAGAAAATACAAAGGGGAAAACGAAGCGGAGGGAAAAGGGGCAGTTACTGCAATGGGGAAGTTATTGAGAAGGAAGCAAAAACGGAACAGGGGAATAGTAACAGGGGAAAGGGTAGATCCAAAGCAGAATTTTGCTTCAGTTGGCTTTGCAAGCGCACACTCACCCACAGCAGCAGCAGCACCGCTGCTTTCAATGCCACAGCAGCCCAGTGCACGAGAGGCAGCAGCAGCGCCCGCATGTTGTTACGCGGTAACCGCAAGACAGCTGCTTGCATGGCTGCTATGGACCCCCAGATGAGGTAGGCTCCTATGCCAAAGGAATAGAGGTCTGGATGGGTTGAAAGGGGTGTGAGAGAGTGAAGTGGGGTAAGGGGATGAGTGACTGGTGGTAAGTGCAGCACAGCAGTTTTGGATCCCCAGATGAGGTAAGCCCCGATGCCAAAGGAATGAAATCTGGATGGGTGGAGAGGGGTACAAAAAAGTGATGTGGGTATGTCTTACTAGTGCTGGGTATGCTTTACCATCGCAGGGAGCATTGTCAGCAGCGCTGGGCAGGAGGGAGGCAGAGAGGCAGACGGACACTCGGCATACAGCAGTGGGCGGCAGCACCACTGCCGTGTTGACCGCTGCTAGTGACGCCCACGGTGTGTGGCAGTGGATGGATGGAAGGACGGGTGGATGGATGGAAGGACGGGTGGATGGATGGAAGGACGGGTGGATGGATGGAAGGACGGGTGGATGGATGGAAGGACGGGTGGATGGATGGAAGGACGGGTGGATGGATGGAAGGACGGGTGGATGGATGGAAGGACGGGTGGATGGATGGAAGGACGGGTGGATGGATGGAAGGACGGGTGGATGGATGGAAGGACGGGTGGATGGATGGAAGGACGGGTGGATGGATGGAAGGACGGGTGGATGGATGGAAGGACGGGTGGATGGATGGCACACATTCCTCACCACAGTGGGACAAACCTTACCAGTGCAGCCGTGCCTACCACTGCAAGGGGCTGTGCCTTACCATTGCACTGGGAAGGAGCGAAGCAGAGAGGCGGAAGACTCCTCGCCCCACAGCCGTGGGCAGCAGCACCACCGCCGTGTTGAACGCTGCTAGAGACGCCCACGGTGCGTGACGGTGGATGGATGGCACACACTCCTCCTTACCAGTTAAGTCATTCCGTATATGGAAGACGTCTCACCATTGCAAGGGGTGTCGTCGGCAGCACTGGGCAGGAGGGAAGCAGAGAGGCGAAACACCCCTCTCCCCACAGCAGTGGGCAACAGCACCACTGCTGTGTTGAACGCTGCTAGTGACGCCCATGCCGCCACCAGCAGCGCCACTATCCGCAATCTGAAATGCTCGTCCTCCTTCTTGCTCCCACTCCCCCCGCTCCCGCTTCCACTCCCGCTTCCACTCCCGCTGCTGCTGCCCCCCGCACTCTTGCTGTCGATGCCGCTGCTGTTGCCAGTGCTACCATCTGTGATGCTTCTGCTGCTGTTGCTGCCGCTGCCAACCTCCCTTATGCTGCCACCACTGCCGCTTCTCCTGCTGTTTCCTCTATCTTTGTGACTGGGAGCTGCAATAGATGCTGCAACAACCCTGTCCTTATCCCGTTCTATCTCTTCCTCTTCTCTTCCTGTCTCCTCCCTCCCCTCCTCCACTGCCTTCCCCTTCCCCCTTGATCTCTCCACCTCCCTTCTCTCCAATACCTCCTCTTCCTCTTCTTCGTCCTCCTCCCCCTCCTTCTCCCCCTCTTCCTCCACCTCCTTAATCCTTCTATCCAAACTAACCCCTTTTCCAGTTGCTGCTCCTCCCGCTCCTCCTGCTCCTCCTGCTCCCACTGCTTCCACTTCTCTCGCCTTTCCCTTCAAAAAATCGCCATCAGTTCCTACCCCAGCTGTCCCAGCGATCCCAACTGCTCCAACTATCCCAACTGCTCTTACAGCAACAGTACCTCGCGAGGGTGCTGCTGCTGCTCTTGCCAACGCTGCCTCTGCTGCCTTCTCCGCAGCTACTATTCTCTCAACAAACCGGCTGTCCATGGGAGTGTCATCTGGAGCACTGACACGGGAGTCCAATTCTGAAGGCCCCTCATTAATGCTTTCCCCAGCTACGGTTCTCGTTCTGGTTGCATGGGAAGCAGGTGCAATATGAGAGGTCTCAGATGCAGCAGGGGTACGAGGGGGTTGGAAAGCAAGAGGAGGGGGAGGAGGAGGAGTAGCAGCAGCTGCAGGGTGGAAAGCAACAGGTGGGGGAGGAGGAGCAGCAGCAACACCAGCAGGCGCAAGAGGAGGAGGGGGAGCAGCAGCAGCAGCACCACCAGCAGCACCAGCACCGCCAGCATCACCAGCAGCAGCAGCAGCGGCGGGACCGGCAGGGGGCGGGAGCAGGAAGGGCTGCAGCATGAGGAGGTGGGCGGCAGCGCGGAACCAGAGGGAGAGCGCGGCCTTGATGGTGGCGCGCGGGCGCAGGCGGTCGATGGCAAAGGGGATGCACACGTGCAAGAGGAGCATATCCAGAGGGATCTCCATCAGTGGATCGGAGAACCTGTGGGGGGCAGTGGGGAATACACATGTGCGAATGAGGAGGCTGAGAAGGGAGGACGGTCGATGGCAAAGGGGATGCACACGTGCAAGAGGAGCATGTCCAGAGGGATCTCCATCAGTGGATCGGAGAACCTGTGGGGGGCAGTGGGGAATACACATGTGCGAATGAGGAGGCTGAGAAGGGAGGGCGGTCGATGGCAAAGGGGATGCACACGTGCAAGAGGAGCATGTCCAGAGGGATCTCCATCAGTGGATCGGAGAACCTGTGGGGGGCAGTGGGGAATACACATGTGCGAATGAGGAGGCTGAGAAGGAAGGGCGGTCGATGGCAAAGGGGATGCACACGTGCAAGAGGAGCATGTCCAGAGGGATCTCCATCAGTGGATCGGAGAACC